GAAGAAGCAGTCGAGTCCCCGCTTCCACCATCTTTCTTCCATCGCGGATGATCGAACGGAGAGCGGAGAGCTTCTTCTTCTTCTGTTCGAGTGGAAAAATTAAAAGGAAATTAAGGGGACGAGTTGTAGTTGTAATCGAGGAACGTTGTGACAGAAATCGACGGATTTGTGGATGTCGAAGAATAGCATAAATCGAGGCGTGTAAACGCAGTTGAACGTTGACTCGAGATATTTCGTGGCGATGAGGTAGATAACGTCGGGCCGTTTGTACTCCACGCGAAGCTAGAGGGAGAGAGAGAGAGAGAGAGAGAGAGGGCGATGGAAGTGGAAATCGTGGCTTGTGCGGAGAGCAACAATGTGAACAGATCGGGGGGTGGTGTCCCGACCCACGATAGCAGAGTACAAATAGTACGAAAGACACGGTGAGACTGGGGAGGAGCGGCGGTGTTTCTTTTTTATTTTTTTGACGCGACGTCAAAGAGATGCAACGATCGCGCGACGCGTGTACACGCGCGAGTCCCTCCTCTTTCTTTTCTTTCTTCTTGCAGGACGTCGCTGTTCATTATCATGAGTTTCATCTACGCGAAGCTGCTGGTGGTTGTGTGCATCGCTTACGTGATAAGCGAGGTGGTCACGCACAAGCTGCCCCTCTACTACTACGAGGGATTCTTCACGTACCTGTACGGTGTTAGCATCTTATTCCTGCTGTACGTGTTCTGCTTCTTGCTGCAAGAAAGCGCCTGCTGCTCGAGGGGCAGCGACACGCCACCCCCGCCTCCGAGACCGCCCAAACCGCCCAAGGAGCCCAAGGAGAAGAACNAGAAGGACAAGAAGGACAAGGAGCAGAAGTCGTCGAAAAACAAGAAGGAATATCAGGTCAGGATCTTTCTTCATCTCCGTTTTGATAAAATAGTAAATTATATATATATATATATATACGTTTCGCGGTTGCCGAGAAAAGCACGCCGTGTATTTCTCGGTGAAACCGAAGTTGTCGAGCCGACAATTTTAAAAGGCACGTTGACGTAAGTGGGTTATCTGTCGTCATCGAGTATCCGCTAGAATGCACGTGTTACATCTCTTGTCCTGCTCCTCCCTCTTATTCATTATCACGTGATTCCACTTGTGAAACTGAAACTCGGCAATTTCGTCCTCGTTGAAATTCACCGCTCTTTTCGGGGTCGAGGCGACGAAATTGTCTTAAAATTGACTCGAGAAATCGAATGGCAGACGGGGATGGCTTATTGAATTATTAACGATGACCGATGATTTCAGGACGCGGCTGATGTCGAGGCTGGGGTTGCCACTCGGGCACTGAGGAAGCGGAAAACTTCGCAGAACGACCAGAGCCATGGAAGTTTTTTCCTGAGAATCGGTGCCATTGGTGAATCGGAATCGAATTTCAAATCTCGAATTATTTTGAAAGAAGAAAAAAAAATAACGAATCCTTTCTTCGCAGCTTTTGGCCTGGGTACAATGGTCTACAACGGTTTGGAATTCGGCACCTTCTTCGAGGTGCCACCCACATCGCCGTGCTACCAGATCCTTCAAGGCGTTAATCCAGTTCTTCAAATGATTTTCACCTTCATGCAGATGTACTTCATCTTCATGAACTCGAGGGTAGGGTAGAAAAACGACTCTTCCTCGACTTTCTCGAGCATCGGCATTGATCGTCCGTTTTTTCTCAGCTCAACATTCATCGCTTCAAAGTGATCGCTCGTTTCGGTCTGATGCACGTGGTGGCCACCAATCTCTGCGTCTGGATCCGCACCCTGGTGTTGGAAAGCATCAAGGAGATCACGAAGCATCACCAGAAAATGGGCCAATTCGAGGCGGGCATTCTTGGTAAATCGATCGCACGATAGATATCGCGATAATCGTTTCGCCAAAACAAAAAAAAAAAAAAGAGAGACAGGATCTCGCTAATCTGAATAAAAAATGAAAAACGTTTAGAGAGTATCAAACAGCACTCGATGAGGAACGCCGGTGCCATTTTGGGAACGGCGCCAAGGGACGTGGCTCTTTTGCGCGAGGCGCCATTGACAGCGACCAGGTCGTCCACGGTTCCAACGTCGGTCGCGAGCACCATAGCCGCCTCGTTCGGTCGAATGATGAAAACTACGGCGAGGGCGATCGCGAGGGCCGTCACGACGCCGACCTCGACCACCACCACGGGCTGGAACCCGCCGACCTCGATGACCCCCTCCACCTCGACCCCTCAGCCCAGCTTGCCCACGACCACTGCCAGCGCTCTGGCCACTTTTCTAACCGCCCTCACGCCGAAAACCACCAGGGAGGGGAGGGCCACCCCGACCACTCCCGCTACCACCACCCCCTCCACTACCACCACCACCACCACCACCACCACCACCACCACCACCACCACCACCACCACCACCACCACCACCACCACCACCACCACCACCACCACCACCACCACCACCACCACCACCACCACCACCACCACCACCACCACCACCACCACCATCACCAGCACCAACATACCTTCCACCACCTTGTCGTACTTCGTCCAACTGTTCGACGCGCCTCAGGCGGACAACAAAGAAGAGGTAAAAACGCGATCTTTCCGATTTCGTATCGAGATCGGGCGTGGATAGATCGAATAATCGTTGGTAATTCTTTTCTTCCCAGATCAACCAGATACATCAGATCTTCGACCTGAACAATCAAACGAACAGCAGCGAATATTGGAGCCCGAATTTCGGCGCGTACGCGGAGGCGTTAACGGACGAGGAGATCGCG